AAGTGAGGCTCAGAGAGGTGAAGTGACATGTTGTAGCTACTGAGTGGTCCCAGCCCCGCCTCTAGCTGCTGCCTAAGCGGGGGCCAGGCTGGGGTGTCCCTGACCTGCTCGCCCTTCTCCATCCAGCAAGTGCTCTCGGAAGAGGAGATTGATGAGAACTTCAAGACCCTGTTCAGACAACTGGCAGGGGAGGTAGGTTGGGGTATGGTGGAGGGGGGCCTCTGGGGCATAGAGGGATAGCCCCTCCCCGGGACGGGTGTCATCCTGCCTTGTCCCCCAGGACCTGGAGATCAGTGTCAAGGAGCTGCAGACCATCCTCAATAGGATCATCAGCAAACGTGAGTGTCCCCGAGTGGCTCCTCTCCACCCTGCATCCTGCCCCACCACCCCGCCACCCCCATTTCCTCCAGACTCCACAATCTAGGCTCTTGCTCCTGCGCTGAGCTGAACCTGACCCCTTGGCTTCGTGGGTGGGGAAACCTTCCACTGCCTTCTGAGCTCTCCTGCTCACCCCATTTTCCTCCTGTCCGCCTCACACCATCTTGCTGGACCACATTCTCTGTGTTGTGTGTGGTGCCCTGGTGTGATTAGAAGCTGACACACATGAGTGCCAATGTACAGGACCCTTTCGCCTTAGATGCACCCAGGCCAGGCCAGGGGCTTGGGAGCAGAGCTGGCTTCAATCCCTGTGCAACTGAAGGGAGCTGCCCCAACCTTCTTTTTGCCCCCACTTCTGACCTCTGACTTCCGACCTCCATCCGTGCTGTTCCCTAGGCTCGGAACCCCTCTGCTCTTCTCACCCTGGAGCCTGCAGCAGACCCCACACCCTGTTCATTCACTCTGGTCTGATCGCGGTGTTGATCTGGCTGTTGGGACACCAGCTTGATTGCTAAAAGTCGTTTTAAACGTATTTCTGATGATAAAAACACTCCTACGTGCTTACCCTGCTAGATTGTACATGCCAAGGGACAGGAATCGTGCCTCCCTGATCCTGCCCCACCCAGTGCCCCTGCCCGTGGGCAGGCCCAGGAAGCAGGCTGGGCTGGGGAACTGGAATGCTTTTCCTTGCAGACAAAGACCTGCGGACCAAGGGCTTCAGCATGGAGTCCTGCCGCAGCATGGTGAACCTCATGGACGTATCCTGTCATGGGCCGTGGGGTTGGGGGACTCGTCCCAGGAATGGTGCAGAGAAAGGGACAAAGCTCTGTGGAGTGTGGATGGACCAATGCCTTCCTGGGCATCACCACATTGATAGGGAGGGGAAACTGAGTCACGGGCCTTGTGTAAAGTGAGAGGTTGAGCCCGGCCTGTATCCCCAGAGCCCCTAAGGCCGGTGCTCTTTCTGCACTTCCCTGGTCCAGCCAGATTCAGAGAGCAGGCAGGCCTGGCCACGGCTGACTGTCCTCTGGCCTTGCTGCGTCTCCCCTCGTCTGGCGCTCTGTGGCCAGGCTCCCCTCCTCCCGAGCTGCCACACTCCCCACCCCTGGTTTAAGCTGTGGAGCTTTTTCCTTAATGGCTGCCCAGCGGGACGGCAACGGGAAGCTGGGCCTCGTGGAATTCAATATCCTGTGGAACCGTATCCGGAATTACCTGGTAGGTGGCCCCTGCTGCCGGCGCCGTCCTCCCTGCTCTGTGGCCTTAGTCACAGCAGGGCCAGGCCGGGCAACAGGCTGCACAGACCAGGTCCTCCACTTGGACCTGCTTCTCCGGAGCCCACATATCCCAACTGACCCACCTTTTGGGCTTCTCCCCTCCACCCTCGACAATCCTCCACCCTGGGGCGGCTGGAGGGCTGGCTGGCTCGGCCTGGCCCTCACCCGCTGCTCCCCACCCCAGGCCATCTTCCGGAAGTTCGACTTGGACAAGTCAGGCAGCATGAGCGCCTACGAGATGCGGATGGCCATCGAGTCTGCAGGTGAGGCTCGCGGGCTGGCGGCGCCTGTGGAGCCCCAGGCGGGTGGCCCCAGGCTGCTTCCCCGACAATGGGCCCTTGTCCTTGGGGTGATGATGGCGATGGTGGTGTTGCGGGAACGGCCAACTTCTGCCTTTTTCCCACGGTTACTGAGCTAAGTGCTTTAGCAGCATTTACTTTGGTCTTCAGTGCAGCTAATGAGGATAGGGGCTCCCGTTGTCCCCACTGTGCACAGAGAAAAGTGAGACTCAGAGAGGGAAAGTGACTACCCTGAGATCACACAGACAGCGAGAGGTGGGGCATGCCATAGCCCCCAAGGAGAGAGATGCAGGGTCCCCCTCCCAGCCCTGGCCCCCTCCCGTCTCTGGGGCTGGGTTGTGCCTCCCTGGCCCTTACCTGCTCTCCTGGGCCAGGCTTCAAGCTCAACAAGAAGCTGTATGAGCTCATTATCACCCGCTACTCGGAGCCTGACCTGGCCGTGGACTTTGACAACTTCGTGTGCTGCCTGGTGCGACTGGAGACCATGTTCCGTGAGTGTCCCATTCAGCTCCTACCTGTAGGTGTAGACCCTGCCTGGCATGTCCCAGGGAGGTGCAGGTCTCGGGTTGAGCCCCAGGTGGGCTGAGTGCTGTGTTTTGGGGTGCTCTCAGGCAGCAGAAAGAGCCTTTAATGGCTATGATGGGTGGGAGAGCTTGGGGTGCTGCAGGGAGGTGGGAGATAAGGCAGGAGGAGAGGCCTGCATGAATGTCCCCCAGAATTCTCAGCCCCATGTCATCTTTTCTTGAACAACAGGGTTTTTCAAAGCGCTGGACACAGATCTGGATGGAGTTGTGACCTTTGACCTGTTTAAGGTGGGAGCCTCCGTTGGCCAGGTGGGGGAAGGTACTCAGGGGCGGGGGAGTATTCCTACCTTCCTGGGGCTGGAGCCTGTGGCCTCAGAGCCAGTCCTAAAGGCCAGGCCACCCAAGTTCTGGAAGGATGGGGTGGGGTGTCTGGGTCCTGGGAAGGGAACAGGAAGGGAGGGCCAGCAGCCTGGTCTCCCAGGGGTAGAGAAGGTAAGAAAGTCCCCCCTCATACCCCCAAGACAGCCCTTCTCCAACCTGCCCTCAGAGGGGCTGAAGAAATGGTGGCTCCTGAGCCAGGGGGCTGGGAGGCTGGCTGGACTTGGGGTCTGCCCTGCTGACCCCTCTCTCCCCTCTCTTCTCCGCCCGGCAGTGGTTACAGCTGACCATGTTTGCATGAGCAGGGGTAGGCCCCCTGGCTGCGTTCCTCTGGCTGCATTCTTCTCCCTTCCTCATCTGCCAAGCTACGCCTTCCCACCACACCCACCACACCACACAGGCCCCGCCAGCTGCAAGTGCCTTCCTCGGAGCAGGAAGTGGCCTCCTGGCCCTTCACCTTCACCCGCTCTGGGCAGGGCTGTGTCGCCCTCCCTGCTCCGAGGACCATGGGCTCAGATGGACTCCCCCAGCCCTCCCATCGCCAAACCAGGAAGGCAGCTTTCGCTTGTTCCTGCCTCAGGATGGGGCTTCGGGGAGATGACAGCCACTGTTCCCAGCATCTTGATGTGTCCTCTCCAGAGACCACCCACTGGCCTTACCTGCAGACTTTAAACCATAACCACTAGCTCTGCACAGTCTGTGTGGTCGCTTGCAGAGCCCCTCCCAGCCAGGGCCGCCTCCCCAGGGCTGGAGACGCCTGTTCCTTCCTGTGCAGAAGCCAATGCCCCTCTCAGCCCGACGGCCTGTCACCCAGTGCCGTCTGATGACCAGGAGCCGCCTGGCCCGGGGAGTGATCGGGCCTTCCTTCCTCCCATTCCCTCCCTCATTTTTTATATTGGTGATTTTAAAGGGGACTTTAGGGACTGGTATACCACTTATGGGGGTGCCAGAGGCACCTAGGCGTGGGGTGTGAGGGCTCGTGTTTCCATGCAGAGAAACCCCAAATAATAAAGGCAAAAGGCCCCATGTCTCTGTGTGTGTGTTTCTGCCACAAACTGCCGCCTTGGCTTTCAGGGCCACCTGGGACCCTAGCAGTGTGGCCCTGCTGGTCCTACACAGCGTCCTGGCAGCCTTGGAGGCCTGACTCCTGCCTTTCCTGCACATTCCACCTGTGAGGTTCTGGCTGAAACCAAAACCCCTACTTGGCACAAACCCGGCCCCCCAGGAAGCTCCCCAGCACACAGAGCCTCCTCCAGCCCTCCGGGGGAGTGCCCCGTGACCCGGACACCTGCAGCTTACGTAAGCTGCTCCAGCCCCCTCGGGATCATGGCTTCTCTTACCAGAGATAACAGTGGGTTGAGCTGGGGGCAGAGGAGTTGGGATGGGGGTGGGATGAAGAGGGAGCCATCGACTAGGACAGAATGTGGGGAAAGGTTGAGGAAGCCCAGGTGTGGAGGGTGGGGGCTGCGCTCAGCTGCTAGGAGCCCCAGGTGGAGGCCCGAATGGCGGACTGCCTGGACTTTGCCACAGCTGGCACAGGGCTGAGCAGGCCATCCTGAGCCTGCTTCTTGCCTTTGGGAGCCCCTGGGTCGGGTCCTGAGGGGCCTCAATGTCCTCAGTAAGAGGGTTGGCCCATTGCTTCCCGCGAGCCTGGGCTGGGTGTGAGGGCCAGGTGGAGGGGTGGGACAGGGGCTCTGGGCCCACCCTGAGTTCTCTCTACTGGGTTTTGTTTGATGGGGGTGACATACCGTGGGGCTGGATGATTTGGGCGCCCTGCCCCTCACAAAAACCATTCAGAGGAAAGGGGAAGGGGTCATTTACTGCTTCGGCCCTCCAGTGAGGGCAGTGGGCAGGGCGGCTGGGCCTGCAGGTCTGGGCAGTGGGGCTGTGAGGCAGCCCTCTGGGATGCTCACTTTTCCAAGGGCGGTAAGAGATTGAAGAATCTAGGAGAAAGGGTCTGGAGGGAGGGGGAGCCCTGCAGACATGGGGACACCCAAGGCCTCCTGTGGGGTGTAACCGGACCCCTCTGAGCTGCCAGACAGGGCATCTGTGGTTCTAACCCTGGACCTGTTTTTCCACCCCCTGCGGCCATCCCAGCCCCTTTACATAAGGCCCCTGCAGGCTGGGCCTTGGGTCAGGCTGAGGCCATGGCCTTCACAGACCTGCTGGACGCCCTGGGCGGCGTGGGCCGCTTCCAGTTCTTCTACACGGCGCTGCTGCTGCTGCCCTGTGGCCTGCTGGCCTGCCACAGCTTCCTGCAGAACTTCACGGCCGCCGTGCCCCGCCACCACTGCCGAGGCCCGGCCAAACATGCTGCGGCCGCCAACCACTCCGAGGCCTGGCTGAGAGCCATCGTCCCCTTGGACCAGCTTGGGGCCCCCGAGCCATGTCGGCGCTTCATGGAGCCGCAGTGGGCCCTCCTGAGCCCCAACACCTCGGTCCACGGGGCAGCCACGGAGAGCTGCAAGGACGGCTGGGTCTACGACCACCGCGTGTTCCGGTCCACCATCGTGACGGAGGTCCGCGGGGCGGGGTGGCATGGGGAGTGCTGCCTGAGGCCCAGGCTGAAGTGTCCCTCCCTCTCCTGCAGTGGAATCTGGTGTGTGAGGCCCGCACCCTCCGGGACCTGGCTCAGTCCATCTACATGGCCGGGGTACTGGTGGGCGCCGCTGTGTTTGGCAGCCTTGCAGACAGGTAAGCCTTTGGGGACGAGGGGTCCACCACCCAGCTGGAAATCCCCAGCCTGTGTTCATTTTTCTTTTTTTTTTTCCTTTATTGGTTTTAGAGAGAGAGGAAGGGAGAGGGAGAGAGAGATAGAAACATTGATGAGAGAGAACATCAATCGACTGCCTCCTGCGTGCCCCGCAGTGGGGATCAGGCCCACAACCTGGGCATGTGTCCTGGCTGGGAATTGAACCAGTGATCTCTGGGTGCGTGGCTCAATGCTCAATCCCTGAGCCATACCAGCCTGGCTCATTTTTCTTTTTTTTTTTTTTTATCCTCACCCGAGGACATTTTTGCATTTTTTGTTCAGACAGAGCGGGAGGGAGAGAGAGGAAGAGAGAGAGAGAGAAACATCGATGTGAAGGGACACATCGAGTGGCTGCCACCCACACGACCAACCAGGGCCGGGGACAAACTGCAACCGAGGTACGTGCCCTTAGTGGGAACCGAACCCGGGTCTCTCTGTACCTCAGGCCGACGCTCCAACCGCTGAGCCAAACCGGCCAGGCCTCATTTTTCTTTATTAATGTTTATTCATGCATTTGTAGATTGATAATACCTATAATATATTCACATTATTCAAAATTCCAGGAGGCACAAGCGAGTTTACAGGGAAGTGACCCTCTCCCACAGCTACCCACCTCCAGTAACTTCTGGAGGTCAGCCTGGTCTCTGGTCAGCTGCACAGAGACATTCTGTGCAACCCAAGCAGATGTGTATCTACGCTGTGCCCCCCTTTCTATACAAATGCTGGCACACCCACACCTGTTCTGGCTTCTTTCTCCCCTCGAGGCCTCTGCATATTCTTCAGAGAGTGCTTCCCATCCACCCTACTGTCCATGCTGCTTCTGGAATCGAACCCGAGACTCATTGGTCTGCAGGCCGACACTCTAACCATTGAGCCAAACCAGCCAGGGCATCCACAGTGTCTTATATGTCACCAACCCCTAGCCGAGGCCTGTCACTAGGAGGTGATGGATGAACCCTATGTAACACGATGAACAAGTGAATGGATGAATCAGTGTACATGGGGAGTGTGGAGAAGAAATGCAGCCTGCCCCTTCTTGGCCTGCTGCCCTCCTGGACCCTCACTTACCAACAGGGCAGTACCTAGGCCACAGTATAACCCTGCTACCCTGGCCTTGAACCCCCTGTGGTGTGACAAACCCCCACCCAGCGTGGCCTCCCAAGCGTGATCAGTTTAAATGAAGACTTGACCCTGGGGTCATGTTCCCCAAGGCTCCGCCAAGAGCTTGCCCCCTGGGCGTTCTGGTTTGAGGCCCCTCTCCAGCCAGAAAGTCGCCACCCACTGCTCCGCCTCTAGGCCTTTGCAGCATCCCCAACCCTGGAATGTGGTGGCTTGATAGAGGGGCCAGAAATACCACTTGAGAGAAGGAATGAAGGAGGTAATACCCCTCTTCGTCTTAAATTTTCTTCCACACCTCGCTTCTCCCTCCCGGATCGACCTCCAGCACCAGTGCCTGGGTCCCAGGGATGAGCGGTGCTGTTACAGAGGCATGGCTTTGGGTGGCACTGGGGCAGGAGAGCTTCCTCTCATCCTTCTTCAGCGATCTCCACGGGGACCCTAACGTTTGCTCATGGCCCGGCTCAGGCTGGGCCGCAAGGGCCCCCTGGTCTGGTCATACCTGCAGCTGGCAGTTTCGGGGGCCGCCACAGCATACTTCAGCTCCTTCGGTGCCTACTGCGTCTTCCGGTTCCTGATGGGTATGACCTTCTCGGGCATCATCCTCAACTCCCTCTCTCTGGGTGAGTCCAGCCAAGGGGGAGCCGGGAGCGGGGCTCGGGAGGGGGCACGGCAGCCCCACCATCAGATACCTTACCTGTTTCGTTGTGTGGGATTCTCACCCAGCGACCTCAACTCAGAACCTCCCGCCAGGGTCTTGAGAGGCCTGGGCTCTCGCAGCGGCGCCGCCAGCAGTTCGCTGTGGGCCCCGGGTTGTGACTGGCCATCAGTAAGCTGAGAGGGTTGCATTTATTTCCTGTGTGCATTAGTCAGCAATAACCACTCGCTAAACACCTACTGTGTGCCAGGCTCTCAGTGTGCGGACACGGAAGTGAGGTGAGACACAGTGGTCCCCAGGGCTGCAGGCAGCCCTGAGGTTATGTGAATCCAAAAAGGGTGGGGTTCACCCGGGCTGCAAAGGTGGTGGTGACTCCTTCGCACCTTGGCAGAGACCTGGCCTCCTGGGTGCCAGGTGGGAATGTGCCCACCTCACACCAGGCTGCTCCCCCGTAGCTGGCGGAGCGGATGGTGGGACAGTAGAGGCCTGGATGCAGGCCTGCCACCCACTTCCACTGCCCCCCACTTCATTTGCTCCTGTGGATACACCAGGCCCGCGGGAGGATCTGAGGGATTCCGAAACTACTGCCAAAGATTGACCGGGTCTTTCATTTCAGCGGTGGGAGGAATCTCAGGCCTGGGGAACCGGGATGCCCCAGGCCACACCCTTGCTTCCCACATTAGGACATTGGAGGGCGCTGGGCTCACAGCAAGATGTCAGCAAATTCATTGTTTGGGTGGGTGTCCAGCCACGGCTCATGGAATCTGAAGGGTAGGAATACATGTCCAAGGTCCATCTCATGCTAGAATCACCTGTATTCTACACACACACACGCACACGCACACGCACACACACGCACCCACACCACCACCATGTGCCAGGCACGGTCCTAAGCGCTGAGATGCAACAGTGAACAAGCAAGTCCCGCTCCTGTGGAGTCTGTTCTCATGCGGGAAGACAGAGAGTAAGCGACACAAAAACGCAAGTTACATAGGACATCAGAAGGTGATAAGTGCTGCCCAGCGGTGTGGCTCAGCGGTTGAGCATCACCCAAGAGAACACCACTTCAGGGTTCGATTCTCGGGCAGGGCACATGCCCAGGTTGTGGGCCCATCCCCAGCAGGGGGCATGCAAGAAGCGGCCAATTGATGTTCTCTCTCATCGATGCTTCTCTCTCTCTCCTTCTTCCTTCCCCACTCTCTCAAATCAATGAAGAAAAGATATTTTGAAATAAATAAATAAAAGAAGGTGGTAAGTGCTACAGAGGAAACGAGAGCTGGGAGAGGGAGTGAGAGGGCCGGTGGAGGGATCTGCAGCTTTTATGGGAATGGTCAGGGGAAGGGGGTCTCTTTGAGGAAAGTTCGAAGGAGGTGAGGGAGTGCACTCCGGCTCCAGGGGAAGAATAGTCCAGGCAAAGGCCCTGAGGGAGAGTGTGCCCATTGGGTTCAAGAGCAAGGAGGTCCCTGTGGCTGGAGCAGAGCTGGGGGCTGGGAGACAAATGAGGTCAGGAAGATGGGCAGGCAGATCCTTAGGCCTTGTGGCCTTTTGAGGACTTTGGCTTTTCCTGAGACAGGAGCCTCTGGAGGGTCCTGCGCCGAGAAGAGGCCTGACTGGTCTGAGTTAGCATTTGTCGGGATCCCTTTGGCTGCCATTCAGCCGAAGGACAGAAGCAGGAAGGCTAATTCCGAGGCTTCTGTGGTCACGAGTGAGAAGCCAGGCTGGCTTAGGCCAGGGTGTAGCAGCAGAGGCGACTCAGTTTTGCAGGTAGAAGCGACAGGATTTGCTGTTGGACAGGACGCGTGAGCTGGCTGCTCATGGAAAGCAGCGTCCTCATCAATTTAGTGTGGCTGCCTTGTGACAGTGTGCCATGATTTATTTACCGTCCCCGTGGGTGCATGCTCGGGCTGCTTCCAACTTTTGCTATTTACAAAAACAAATCATGTAATTAAGAACCCTTAGCCCAGTCAGAGTGGCTCAGTGGTTGAGCATCGACCCATGCACCAAGAGGTCGCCAGTTCAGTTCCTGGTCAGGGCACATGCCCAGGTTGTGGGCCCGATCCCCAGTCGGGGGCATGCAGGAGGTGGCCAATCAATGTTCTTTCTTATCAACACTGTTTCTATCTCTCTCTCTCTCCCCCTTCCTCTTTCAAGTCAATAAAGAAAAAAAAATTTTTTTTAAACAAAACATTATCTTTTTGCCCAGCCAGTGTGACTCAGTGGATTGAGCATCATCCCATGAGCTGAGAGGTCCTGGTTTGGTTCCAGGTCAGGGCACACACCTGGGTTGCAGGCTCGATTCACAGTAAGGGGGGCAGCTGATAGATGTATCTCTCTCACATCGATGTTTCTAATTTTTTTTTTTTTTTTTATCCTCACCCGAGGACATTTTTCCATTTTGTTCAGGTAGAGTGGGAGGGAGAGAGGGGAACAGAGAGAGAGAGAAACATCGATGTGAAAGGAACACATCAAGCGGCTGCCACCCGCACGACCAACCATGGCCCCAACCAGGGCCGGGGACAAACTCTCACATCGATGTTTCTATCTCTCTCTAAAAAAAAATCAATAAAAACATATTTTTTTTAAAAATTATATTTCCGCCCTGGCCAGTTTGGCTCAGCGGTTAGAGCGTCGGCCTGCGGTCTGGAGAGACCCGGGTTCAGTTCCCGCTAAGGGCATGTACTTAGGTTGCAGTTTGTCCCCGGCCCTGGTTGGTCGTGCGGGTGGCAGCCACTCGATGTGTCCCTTCACGTTGATGTTTCTCTCTCTCTCTCCCTTCCTCTCTCTCCCTCCCACTCTATAAAAAAAAAAAAAAATTATATTTCCTTTTCTGCCAACTGTTCACATCCTTTGCCTGGTTTTTGTTTGTTTGTTTGGTTGGTTGGTTGGTTTCCTACTGATTTGTGAGAACTTTTCCAATTTTAGGGAAATTTGCCTTTTGTCTGTTGAGTTGCAATTTTTTTCCTCTGTTTTTTGCTGGCATTTTGACTTTGCTTATGGTGGGTTGTTTTTTGTTGTTTTTTTCTTTAATGCAGACACTTATTTTTATGAAGTCAAGTTTATTGATCTTTCCTTTTATTGCTTCTGGGTTTTGTGACATTCTTAGAAAAGCCTGCCCTGACTCTAAGATTGAAAAAAAATCTGTCATGATTCCTTCTAATATGGTTTCAGTTTTGTTGTTCAATTTGGGTCTTTGGTCCACCTGGAACTTCGCTGAGTGTAAGGAGTGAGGTCAGGATGCCTTTGTCTGAGAATCTCAAGTGACCACAGTCACTGCAGAGGGGGCGGGTGAGTTGAACGGCCCCCTGGGGGAAGAGCCCGCTGAGCCCGTGGTGTTTTCTCCGCAGTGGTGGAGTGGATGCCCACCCGCGGCCGGACCGTGGCGGGCGTCCTGCTGGGGTTCTCCTTCACCCTGGGTCAGCTCATCCTGGCCGGAGTGGCATACCTGGTCCGCCCCTGGCGGTGGCTGCAGTTTGCCGTCTCTGTTCCCTTCCTCGTCTTTTTCTTCTATTCTTGGTATGTCCTAAGCAGAGAGGGTGGGGGAAGGCACACCTGTGTGGCCAACCTGTCCCTCTGGGAGTGTGGGGTGTGCGGTGACTGCGACTTGCTGCTCGTGGTGGGGATACGAAGGAAGGAGGGGCTTGCGGAGCCACGGGCTCCCCAATATGTGCATGGCTATGGGGAAGCTCCAGAAAAACCCTTCCCTGAGCATGGGGTTCCAGAACAGTCCGAGTGCTTTTGCCTTTATCAACTCCTTTGTGTCTCACAACCACCTCCTGGCATTTTATAGGAGGGGACCTGAGGCACAGCCAAGGGAGGGTCCATGACTCATTCAAGGCCACACACCGGGATCAGATCCAGATTCAAAACTGGATCTAAGTCCCAAGTCCCAAGTCCCAAGTAGCCTCTAGGCACCAGCAGTGATTCCCTGTCTGATGTATTGCAAAAAAGGGAAGCTAGTTGCCCCGCAGTCTCCCTGATTCTGCAGACAGCAGGACAGCTCACCTCTGTTAAGGTCTGAAAGAAGGTGAATGAAGGAGTATTGGGTTTGGGGAATAGGGTGAGTTCCATGCAGCCCTGGGTCATTCTTCGTCCTTCTCGTGGTTCCAGGTGGCTGCCAGAGTCGTCCCGATGGCTCCTCCTCCACGGCAGGTCCCAGCTGGCTGTGCAGACCCTGCGGAAGGTGGCTTCGATGAACGGGAGGAAGGAGGAAGGGGACAGGCTGACCCAGGAGGTGGGCCAAAGGAAGGGCAGGGACAGTTTCCAGCCTCGCTGGGGGCCTCGCGGTGTGCTAGGGTTTAGTGCCTCCCAGGACTCACCCACCATCCAGGTGAAGAGGCTGGGAACAGACAGAGCGGGCAGAGTCCCGTGTACTGTGCCATCTGGATAAAAATGTCAGCTGCTTTGTTCATCGGACGACCCCATTCACACTGACGTCCAGCCAAAATGTAAATAAAGTAGTAAAATTAAAATAGATATCATGAAATAAGATTATTGAAGAATTAATAATAAAAGTACCATATATTATAAATACTATTTATGATAAGATAGTTACCATTTATTATAAATAAGTGCTACTTATCAAGCGCATGCTGGCACTATGCTAAGGGCTTTTCATACACAATCTTATTTAATGTGTGAGGCTCTGTACCAAGGATGAGGCATGAGGGTCCCGCTGGAAGCATAGGTGGCTATTTCAGCCTTGTTGGTGGGCATCTCAGGAGCCCTGGGACTCATGTGGGGGAGCCTCAGCTTCATCCCAAATCCCTGGAAACAGCCTGCTGAGGACCTTCAGCCCTGGATGGAGAGAGACTATGCCTGGCTGTCTTGCCGGGGACTTCAACCTCTTCTCAATGGATAAAGGAATACCCAGCACGGAAACAGGGTCTCAGATCTCTCCCTCCCCTGATCAAGCTTTTTGTTTGCCCAGGTGGTAAACTCCTACATCCAGAGTGAGTTTACAAGCACCCGCACCTCCAACTCAGTCTTGGACCTCTTCCGAACCCCGGCCATCCGCAAGGTCACGTGCTGTCTCATGGTGGTCTGGTAGGTGACAGGCTCCTGCCCAAGACTTTGACCTGAGGTAGAGACACAATTTTGTCCCCACTGACTAACTCTTAAATATGCTTAATGCCATGAGCATGTGAACCTTGTGAATTCAATCCTGCTCCAAACCCTTCTCCGGGGTCCTCTGGCCCTCTGCTGAGTGCTGAGATGTGGCCATGGATGAGACATCCATGCTGGCCTAGGGACCCCACATCTGGGCAGTGGGTCTCACCTGGGTGGGGCACCTGCGGAAAGCATCTGGGCAGCTTGTCTCAGAATGCACCAAGTCTCTTTCTGGTATGCCTCTGGGGCTCTCCAGGGGTGCTGGGACATGTCCCACTCTGGAAAAGCACTCGTGGGTCCAGAAGGGGACAGACAGGAAAACAATAATTTCCATGAAATATGACAAATGTCCTGATAACAATTCTCCTGACTGGGGCTACTGAGGGCTTCATGCAGGGGATGGCATTTGGGTGGGTTTTAAAAGACTGTGCCCTGGCAGGTTTGGCTCAGCGGTTGGAGGGTCGGGCCGCGGACCAGAGAGTCCTGGATTCGGTTCCTGCTAAGGGCATGTACCCTAGTTGCAGTTTGTACTGGGCCCTGGTTGGGGTCGTGTGGGTGGCAGCCAGTTGATGTGTCTCTCTCACATTGATGTTTCTCTCCTCTTCCACCCTCTCTACCTCCTGCTCTATCTGAAGATGAACGCAAAAATGTCCCCTGGTGAGAATAAAAAATAAAAGACTATTAGCCCTGGTCAGTTTGGCTCAGTGATTAGAGCGCTGGCCTCCGGACCAGGTTCGATCCCCGACTCCGACAGGGTCTGTGGGACTCTGACAGGAGCCGTGTGGAAGGCAACCAATTGATGTTCCTCTCTCTCTCTCTCCCCCGCTCCCTTCCTCCCTCACACTCTATCTAAAAAAGCAATGGAAAAATATCCTTCGGTGAGGATTTTTTTTTATCCTCACCCGAGGACACTTTTCCATTTTTGCTCAGATAGAGTGGGAGGGAGAGAGAGGAAGAGGGAGAGAGAGAAGCATCGACGTGAAAGGGACACATCGAGTGGCTGCCACCCACACGACCCAACCAGGGCGGGGGACAAACCACAACCGAGGTACGTGCCCTTAGCGGGAACCCAACCCGGGTCTCTCTGGAGCGCAGGCCATTGCTCTAACCGCTGAGCCAAACTGGCCAGGGCTTTTATTTATTTATATTTTTTATTTTTTATTTATTTATTTTTTTAATCCTCATTTGAGGACATTTTTCCATTTTTTGTACAGACAGAATAGGAGGGAGAGAGAGGAAGAGAGAGAGAGGGAAACATCGATGTGAAAGGGACACATCGAGTGGCTGCCACCCGCACGACTAACCAGGGCCGGGGACAAACTGCAACCGAGGTACGTGCCCTGAGCGGGAACTGAACCCAGGTCTCTACGGACCGCAGGCCGACGCTCTAACCGCTGAGCCAAACCGGCCAGGGCTTTTATTTATTTATATTTTTTAAATCTTCACCGGGCCCTGGCCAGTTTGGCTCAGCGGTTAGAGCGTTGGCCTGCGGTCCAGAGAGACCCGGGTTCGGTTCCCGCTAAGGGCACGTACCTCGGTTGCGGTTTGTCCCCGGCCCTGGTTGGGTCATGCGGGTGGCAGCCACTCGATGTGTCCCTTTCACGTCGATGCTTCTCTCTCTCCCTCTTCCTCCCACTCTATCTGAACAAAATATCAAAAAATGTCCTCGGGTGAGGATAAATAAATAAATAAATAATAAAGGATGGTTAATAGAGTTTGTCAGGGAGCAGGAAGAAATTCCTAATAGGTACATAGGTAGGCATGAAGATGTGAATGGATAAAACTACAAAGGCAACCCTGGCACAGACGGGAAGCTAGTGAATCCCAAGGGAAGGGGCTGATTGAAAACGTTTTCCATTTGCTCGACAGGATGCCCGGACAGTAAACAATGGGGTTGGTATTTCTGAAGCACAGAACGCAGGCCGCGCACTCTGCTCTGGGGCAGAGCCGGGCACTCTCTTTGGTGGTAGCCAGCTGGGCTCAGGTAGACCCGGCTCCTGTACCTCAGTTTCCTACTTATGCACCTGCCCCTAAGGTCCTTGTGAGGACTAAAAGTTGACATGTAAACCCACACCTGGCCCTGGGAAATGTTCAGGTAAAGGGTCTGTTCTCTTATTCAAGATCGGGGCTGTGTCCTCTGTGCGCCACGAGTGTGGGACTGTCCCCCACTCTGGACCTTCCGAAGCAGGACTGTTCTGCTGCCTCTCCTAGGTTCTCCAACTCCATGGCTTACTACGGCCTGGCCATGGACCTACAGAAGTTCGGGCTCAGTGTATACCTGGTACAGGTCCTGTTCGGGGTCATAGACATCCCGGCCATGCTGGTGGCCACCGCCACCATGATTTCTGTGGGCCGCCGAGCCACAGTGGCCTCCTTCCTCATCCTGGCTGGGCTCATGGTGATCGCCAACATGGTTGTTCCAGAAGGTGAGCCACCAGCTTCTGCCATTACCGCCTGGGGCCTCTGGGGTGTGGGGTCTGGTGGGCAACAAATACAGCAAGGAACAAGGCTGAGAGACATTCTTCCAGGTCTGGAAGGAAAGAAACTGTCTATTGGCAGGGTTTTTATTAAGCACTCTGTGCCTGGTAGCATCACGGTTGTAAATGCCTCAAAGCATTTACCGTCTCACCAGGCACATGAGACCGATGCAAAGTCAGCCAAAGGGCTGGCTGGTGTGCGTCCACCTGGAGCCTGCCCAGGCAGCATTTCGAAGGTTGAAAAGTTCGAGTGTGCTCCTCAGCTGCTGGCCCTGCAACAGCGGTTTGCAAACCTACCTGTAACTGTCGCCACCTGGAGACCTTTGAAAACTCCCAATACCAGGGGCTCCCGGCCAGTGCGGTTAGACTCAGGAGTGGGACCCGACCCTTAGGATTGATTGATTGATTGATTGATTGATTGATTATTTTTTTTTATCCTCACCCGAGGACATTTTTCGATATTTTGTTCAGATAGAGTGGGAGGGAGAGAGAGAGAGAAACATCAGCGTGAAAGGGACACTTCAAGTGGTCGCCACTCATGTGACCCAACCAGGGCCAAGGACAAACTGCAACCGAGGTACGTGCCCTTAGCGAGAACTGAACCCAGGTCTCTCAAGACCGCAGGCCAATGCTCTAACCACTGAGCAAAACGGCTGGGGCCCAATCCTTAGGATTTAAAAAACTGTCCAGTGATTCCAGCAAGAAGCCAGGGGTCGGGAATCACAGTCCAAGAGCGTGTGCTGAGCCGAGGGCTCGCTGTGATAACCATGAACTTGGGCAGCTTGTCTGACTTCTCTGTGCTTTAGTACCTCCCTGTAAAATAGATAGATTACCCCGGCCAGTGTGGCTCAGTGATTGAATGTCGACCCATGCACCAAGATGTCACTGGTTCAATTCCCAGTCAGGACACATGCCCAGGTTGTGAGCCTGATCCCCAGTGGGGGGCATGCAGGAGGCGGCCAATCGATGTCCTCTCTCATCGATGTTTCTATCTCTCTCTCCCTCTCCCTCTTTCTCTAAAATCAATAAAGAAAGAAATTTTTAAAAAATAGATAATTGGTCCTGGCCGGTTTGGCTCAGCTGTTGGAGTGTCGGCCTGCAGACCAGAGAGTCCTGGGTTCAATTTCCACTAGGGGCACGTACCAAAAAAAAAAAAAAAAAGACTAGATAAAAATAGATAATTACTACTGGTATTTTGACAAATTTCTTTCAATCTCTTTCCTTATTTATTGATTTTGTATTTTATATAATTAAGATAATATTATATACATATTATACAATAATATAAAAAGGATTATATAAGTGTATATATTATATGCATAATGTACCCTTTTTCACATTGTATGTTATATATAAACATGCTTTTCCATGTTATGTTATAACATAAACATACTTTTCCATGTTAGTACAAATGTTTCATGACCCTAATTTTATATTGCTATATAATATTTCATCTAGATTGGTGTTTTTCAACTCCAACTGCACATTTGACTCCCCCAGGGACCTTTATTTTATTTTATTTTTTCTCTCAGGGACCTTTAAAAAAATCACCCAAGCCCTGGCCAGTTTTCTCAGTGGTTAGAGCATTGGTCCGTGCACCAGAGTTCCAGGTTCGGTTCCCACTAAGGGCACGTACCTCAGTTGCGGTTCATCCCCGGCCCCAGTTGGAATCGTGTGGGTGGCAACCAGTCAATGTGTCTCTCTCACATTGATGTTTCTTTCTCTCTCTTCCTCCCTCTTTCCCTCCTGCTTTATCTGAAGATAAATGCAAAAAAAAAAAAAAAAGTCCTCAGGTGAGGATAAAAATAAATAAATACAAAGAAAAAAATCACCCAAACTTGAGCCCAGTCTCAAGAGGCTTTGGTGTCATGGAGCTGTCCCCCAGCTGTGGGTGTTTGATGAAATATCCCCTCCCAAATACAGTGTGCAGCCAGAGCTGCCACCAAAGGAGGTGCCACAATCTCCCTGCCCATCGCCCGTGCTGGATGTGGGCATTGGGGTTGTGCTATTTATAACCAGCAGCACGACAAGCATATTAATATTGGTGGTAACTGCAAACATTTAACGAGCGCTGAGCACCTTGCACTCATGTCCTCGTGTCAACCTTCTGACAAGCCTGGTAATTTTCTCATTTCATCCATGAGACAGGGAGGTTCAGAGAGGTTAAGTAACTGACCAAGGTCATCCACGAGGGTCAGAACTGGGGTTTGAACCCAAGCCTAACTCCAAAGCTTGTCCTGGCTCCCCAGCAGACTTGGTGACAGATGGAAATAAGGGAAGAAGAAGGCAGAGGTTAGAGAAGGGCAGCGTGGGGAATCTGGGCCCAGGTGGCGACATGAGGTGGTGGAAATCCTGATTCACTCCATTTAGGTTCTGGGCCCCCTGCCCACCTGGGCTGTGCCCACCACGCTCCCTAAGCCTCCCCCTCTCCTTCCCCCACCCCAACCCCTCCTATGTCCTCCACCCCTACCACTACCCCCCCCCCCCACCACCTCCCTGCTCCCTCTGGGCTCTGAGCCACCACCCCCCTCCCTGTATGCCCTGCAGATATGCAGACCCTGCGCACCGCCCAGGCAGCGCTGGCCAAAGGCTGCCTGGCCAGCTCCTTCATCTGCGTGTACCTGTTCACAGGAGAACTGTACCCCACGGAGATCAGGTGGGTCTGTAGGGGGAGCAGAGGAGCACCTGCCCCTAACTGGGAGCCCCTCTGACTCCTGGTAGACACCTGCTGGGCTTGCCAAGGCAGGTCCCCTCTCTCTTTTCTGCTCTGTCCCCTGGTACTCCCAGCCGTGGCCACTGACCTGTCCACGTTCCTCGGACAGGCAGATGGGGATGGGCTTCGTCTCCATCAACGCCCGCCTTGGAGGTCTGGTGGCGCCCCTGATCACCGCAGTCGGGGAGTTCAGCGCCATCCTGCCGCCTGTGGCCTTTGGGGCCACCTCGATCCTCGCTGGACTGGCCGTCTGCTTCCTGGCTGAGACCCGCAACACACCCCTGGTGGAGACCATTGAGGTGATGGAGAGGAGGTGAGGCCCTCTGGGCATGGCAGGGTGGGGGCAACCCAACAGGCTGTGGTCCCCATGAGACGACTGAGGAGCAAGTGTCCTGTGGCTGCTGCTAACACGACTGCTGAGCGAGAGCTGTGCACAACCCTGCCACCCCCTCCATCAGCAGAGGCTTAGCTCACAAGGACAGACCAGCCCCGAATGGTGCAGTAGAAATAAGAATCAGCTGTGGACCAGGGGAAGGAGGAATGTGCGTTGGCACAAAGCCTGGCAGAGAGGTGGGGGTGACGGTCCGGGGAGGAGAGGGGCCGCTGTCTGGAGCCAAGGCGGGCCTGTGTGGCTGCCGCAGCCTCTGTGTGGCTCAGAGCTTCCTGACAACAGAAAGGGGGACCCTGTTACCGTCTTTTTTTTTTAAAATCCTCACCTGAAGGATATATATTTTTCTATTTATCTTCAAATAGAGTGGGAGGGAGGGAGAGAGAGAGAAAGAAACATCAACGTGAAAGGGACACATTGACTGGTTGCCTCCCGCACCACTCGACCAGGGCCAGGGGAAAACTGCAACTGATGTACGTGCCCTTGACCAGAATCAAACCCTTGACTCATTGGTCCGCAGTCCGACAGCTAACCACTGAGCAACCAGCCGGGGCTAACGACTTTCTTATTGTCAGAGAGGAAAAGGAATACCAGTTCTTTGGGGAAAGGGGAGCTTTTCTTAGCAAGTAGCACTAAAGAAATTTCTCGTGTGAGCCTCCTTAGAGAGGTGACAGAGTTAGGTGACAGCAATGTCCTTGACAACATTTCTAAAATAAGTTCCAGCTTGGGGGCACTGTCACCCCTATGAAGAATGCAGGCTCGACTAAGATTACGTGCTCCAACAGCCACGAGGACTCCTCGAAGTTAAGGTTTGTGAACCACTGAGAGGCTTATAATCAAAGGCAGCTTTAGTACGCCCCTGCGTGATTCTCCAGCATTCCGGTCCACGGGCTTCTTCTGCAACCCGTGCGGGGTCTTCTCAACAGTTCTTATCCAGCCAAACAGGAGACAGAAACAACTCGACTTGCCTTAGTTTTGTAGGAAGTGGTGATGCTGGGGAGGGGAGATGAGAGCCTCTCTCATGAGTTAGTCAAATAGAGTTTCAGATATTTGGGCAATAAGGATTCAAGAACTGCCCAGCCTGCCTCATTTTTCTCAATTTCTAATCTCATCAAATAAGTATGAGTCCAGTCCCAGCCCCGGGATGTCGAGGATTCAGATGAGAAAAAACAACCCCTTTCAAAAGTTCAAGTTCCCATCCCCAAGAGGGGGACAAGCCCAGAGGGATTAGTTCTAACCTACCCATTACACTGGTTCCTGGGGTTAAGTTGTAAGTGGATTTCCCCCAGACTTATTTCATAGACCGACAAAAATCTATTTGTAAATAAAGTGTTTGATGTAAAGTATCAGATCCTTCATTGGTCATAAGACCAGATACTGTTTCTTCAAAATGGTCCGGATGCCTGGTGTGGTCCTGGGTCAGCTCCAGTGACCCAGTGGGTTTAGGTTCATTTGTTAGAGACACATAACAAAGGAAGAGTTGACGCACCCTGTTCAAAAAGCCCTTTTATGTAAGAATAGAACATTCACAAAGGAAGAACTGCCAACAGGAAGAAAACAGAGGAAAAGTATCCATGTAGGTCGTAATCAAAGAAACACAAATTGAATCAGACTAATATCATTTTAAAATATCCAATAAGAAAGTCAATGCAGGAGATGTGTTAGTAGGAGGGAGGAAACTCCTGTATCCTTTCTAGAAAGTTCTTTGGAATTACTGATCATGAGCCATAAAAATTTTCATATTCTCCTAAGTAGTTTCTTAGGAACCTGCCTAAGAAAATAAACTTAAATGTGGACAAAGTTTATTTACAAGAATATTCATCGCCCTGGCCAGTTTGGCTCAGCGGTTGGAGCATCCGCCCACAGACCAGAGTCGCAGGTTTGGTTCCGGTCAGGAGCGCATACCTCGGTTGCAGTTCGTCCCGGTCCTGGTTGGGGTCCAAGAGGCAACCGGTTGATGTGTCTCTCACACATCGATGTTTCTCTCTCTCCCTCCCCCAACTCTATCTGAGATAAATGGAGAAATATCCTCAGGTGAGGATTTTTTAAAAAGTATTAAAAAAAAAAAAAGAATATTCATCATGTGTAATGTACCAGAAAAAAAAATGTAAACTTTCCAAATATCTGAGCTTATTGTGCAAAAGATAAAAGTTAGGTGATGAAGTTAGCCAGAGTGGCTCAGTCAGTTGAGCATTGTCCCGTGAACCAAAAGGTCATTGGTGATCAATATTTCTCTCTCTCCCTCTCCCTTCCTCTCTCACTCTTAAAAAATAAAATAAAATAATCATCCAGCCGATGTGGCTCAGTGTTTGAGCATCGACCCATGCACCAGGAGGTCGCTGGTTCAATTCCCAGACAGGGCACATGCCCAGGTTGTGGGCCTGATCCCCAGTGAGGGGCATGCAGGAGGCGGCCAGTCGATGTTCTCTCTCATTGATGTTTCTGTCTCTCTCCCTTCCTCTCTCTCTAAAAATCAACAAAGAAAAAAAATTTTTTAATCAATTAAAAAATAAAATTAGGTTGATGAAGAGTTTTTAAATGCAGAATATTAGAATTACTTATACTATTTTCCTAATTATGTCAAGAAATACAGACTCCAAAAAGAGAAAGAAATAGGTTAAATGGTGACAGTGGTTGCCTCAAGTCTGGGTGATGTTTTCTTTTTTCCTAACTTCTTTAGATTTTTAAAATTAACTCCAAATTATCTATATTGAGCAGGTTTTCCTTGGTAATTAGAAGGAAGAGGCGCATAATGAAAACATTGATAAGATTTCAGTTCGGTCATTTTCCAGACACAGGGCCGCCCACCGTTAGGCCCAGATGCTAGGGAAGATCTGGGAGGCAGAGTGCTCCCTAAAGCCAGCCAAGGTGGTGGAATGACCCAGAAAAGAGGTGGCCTGGCCCGGAGAACGTTTCAAAGCTCCAACCAGCGACCTTCCCCAGAGCTCCTCCCAGTGGTAGGGGCCTGGGGAGGAGAGGATGGGGGGTAGGTGTCCAGCCGTTCAGTGGTCCAGCCCTCCACTAAGGCCACAGCCCAGGCCCTTGGCCACCCTCCCAATGTGCGCACCAGTTGCATGCTGACCCAAGTATGTTTTTAATGATGTTATTATATTTCAGACATTTAAAAAGAAGTTCGTGAATTTCAGGTCACACAACAGGCTAGTTCTAGTCATCTTTGCCCATTTGATGAGTTAAAAATGGTGTCGAGCAAGCCTGACCATCGCAGCAGTTGAATCTGGAGAACGTCTGCCTCTCAGTTTTTGTTTTTAGGGGTTTTTTTTAATCCTTTTTTTTAATTTGTTTTTGTTACAGATGTTTCTCATTTCCCCCCTATTGACACCCTCCTCCCCTCCCCCCCCACCCATCCCCAGCTTTGTTGTCTATGTTCATCGGTCATGCGTACATGCATGTAAGTTCTGTGGTTTATCTCTGCCTCTCAGTGTTTAGGAACCACCTTTGAAAGGGATGGAGAATCTATTAAACAGAACTGGGATGAAAGAGGGTCCCACCTCTCGGCCCTCACACACAGGCACACGAAAGATAAAACCAACGAGCCGGATGTACCCAGGGACAGAGTCAGGAAGACTGGAGAGCTTGGAGGGCAGGAAGGAGAGATCTGGGACAACAGAATAGAAGGGAGAACGGTTTCTTTGTGAGTGTGTTAGGTAAACCACAGAACTGAAAGGCTAGAAATAGAAGAGTTAAAAGGTAAGGATGAAAACACTGATAAAATGTTTTGAACTTTGAAAAAGTTCTAAAAATGGAACCAGCAGAAGGTTGACAGGAGAAACTGGCAAGATATGTCAATGATTAAAACAAGAAGATAACGAAAACTAAGACTATTAAGTAGGAGAACAAACAAGTCTCAGTTGTGCAATGCCAGGAGACCGGAACCATTTCGAAGAGGGTTGAAAGGAAAAAAGGCCAAGTTGAACCCTATGCAGTGGGCAGCACTTGGGCTATTTGGGAGGCCGTTCCAGGGGACTCCCCTGCCCTCCCCTACCCTGGACTCTGGCCCTGACCTCTGTCCCTCCCTGCCTGATGGGCTGGCCGCTTCTCCACCTGGGGCAGGGTAAGAAGGGCATGGCAGTGCCCAGCCCCCAGGTCCCAGATTCACGACCTCGGGTTCTTGTCTGGCCTCACTCCTCTTTGGAAAACTCTTTTTTCTTTTTTTATCCTCACCCGAGGACATTTTTCAATATTTTGTTCAGATAGAGTGGGAGAGAGAGAGAGAGAGAAAGAAACATCGATGTGAAAGGGACACATCGAGTGGCTGCCACCCACACGACCCAACCAGGGCTGGGGACAAACTGCAACCGAGGCACATGCCCTTAGCGGGAACCGAACCCGGGTCTCTCTGGACCGCAGGTCGACACTCTAACCGCTGAGCCAAACTGGCCAGGGCGGAAAACTCTTTTTTTTTTGTTAATCCTCACCCCAGGATATCTTTCCATTAATTTTCAGATAGAGTGGGAAGAGAGTGGGGGCGGGGGGAGAAACATTGATATGAGAGAGACACATTCACTGGTTGCCTCCTGCATGACCCCAGCTGGGGCTGGGGATTGAATCTGCAACCCAGGCACGTGCCCCTGACCGGGAATGGAACCCTCAACCCTTCAGTCCAAGGGCCGATGCTCTAACTGCTGAGCCAAACTGGCCAGGGCTGGAAAACTCTTTGACCTGAGCTTTTCCAAGTCTGGCTTTTACCAGCCAGGCCAGCCTCTGCCACCGTGAGACCCGAGGAATGGAGCAAGGTGGGGCAGAAGGGACAGGGGAACACGTCTAGTGCCTGGCACAGACACACGCTTGAACGTCTTGCACATGCCCCCTGCTCCTCACCACCTCCCTTCGATCTTTCCATGCCGTTTTGTCATTTGCCTTTCCACCTCCACAGAGCCAAAGGCCTTTCCAAGAAGGAAGCAGAAGGGAAGAGTGAAGAACTTTCTCTTCAGCAGCTGGGAGCTTCTCGCCTCATAGAAACCATCTAAGGTGCCAAGAGCCTGGCACTTGCTGGGAGCACCTCAGCCAGTGTCCGGGCTTCCTGGAGCTGACCAGGGTTGAGGTTCACCAAGGACCACGGTGGCTCCATCAGCCCATGTCAAAGAGCCACCCGCAAACCAGGGCTGGTGCTCCTGGAAGAAACTGGGCCCGCAGCCTCTGGTATCGCCAATGTATGGAAAGTCCGGAGAAACCGCTCCCAGGGGCCAAAGGAGGGACTGTTTTCCTTTCCCACCCCAGACTCTGCCCCTTAAAACCTCTCTGCTCATTCTTATTCCACCTGAAAACACTATGTCTTTGCAAGGTTAGGACGACATTTCTGGCCCCTGTTGTCCCTGCCCACTTGTCCTTGAGGAACTTGGAGAACTCACTGTTCTCCATTCATGAGGCAATTCTCCCTCCTGCCCTATGGGAGTAAAGCTCTCTCCCCTGTGTGCGACTCACCTCCTGAGGGCAAATGTCTCCATGCCAGAGCTTTCTTGCCCTCACAGTGGGCCTCGCGGATGGTACACACTCAACAAATAGTTGATGAATAAACGACGAAGCCAGTCTCTACCCATTGCTGTAGAGGGCACACAGAGGGGTGAATCCCTAGTATGGTGCAGCATCCCTCTGACCTCAGATCCATTTTCAGCCCAGGTGTTGGATGTGTGCCTGCATCCCTGACCTTGACCTTCACCAGAATTCAGATTAGGTTCATGAGGGATTCAAATCCTGGCCCATCGGATAGCCTTGGGCAAGTCTCCTTGTCTAACCCCTTCCTCCTGGAGTTGCCAGAGAATCAAACAAGATTAATTCTCAGTCCCCTATAGTCCAAGGCAAAGAACAATCAAGGAAAGAAGTAGCAATATCACAGTTTGGGCAAAAAAACAACACAACCTGCCATTTGCCAAGGTCAGTCTTTCAGCAGCTTGGCCCTTGGAACAGAGCTCGAGTGAAACTCCTCAGGAAGCTGCCAAGGTCCGGTCTTCCTGCACCAAGTCCTCAGTCTCTCCCATAGGTGCACCCTCTTTCACTAATACAAAGCATGGGCTTTCCTGTTTGAATGGTTCTCCACTCACAGCCCTCAAGAGATTAGTAAATTTAAAAGGCAGCCCAGCCGTTGTGGCTTAGCGATTGAGCGTCAACCCCTGCGCCAAGAGGTCGCCAGTTTGATTCCTGGTCAGGGCACATGCCCAGGTTGTGGGCCTGGTCCCAAGTGGGAGGCATGCAGGAGCCAATCAATGTTCTCTCTCATTGATGTTTCTATCTCTCTCTCCCTCTTTCTTCCTCTTTCTCTAAAATCAATAAAGAAAAAAAAAATTAAAAGGCATTCCAGCTGGTGGGGCTCAGTGATTGAGCATTGACCTATGCACCAAGAGTCACAGGTTTGGCTTCCAGTCAGGGCACATGCCTAGGCAGTGGGCTCAATCCCCAGCAGGGGGCGTACAAGAAGCAGCTAATGGATGTTGATGCTTCTCTTACTGATGTTTCTATCTCTCTCCCTTCCTCTCTCTAAAGAATCAATAAAAACATTTAAAATAATAAAGGCAGAGGGCTGCTGTGCCTTTATTAAGATTCACTTTGGGAGTCACCTCTTCCAGGCAGCACTCCCTGACCTCTCCTCCCTACCTCTGGGCTCCCATGATGCCCTCTCCACATCCTCCCCTCTGTGTTGTAATGGATCCATTTACATGCTGGTCTCACCTGGTGGCTCCTTGAAGGCAGAGTTAGGCCATCTTTGCCTGGTACGGTGGCCTGCACAGAGTAGGTGCTCAGGTCACACTACTGGAGTGAGTGCAATAGTCGGGACGATAAAAACAAAAGTGACCTGTCACCACTGAACACTGAGGGAGGAGACAGAAAAACTCAAGGGAAGACCCAGGTAGAGTAATACAATTTTATATGTGTTTTAAAAACATCTGTTATAAACACCATTGCACTTTTATTATTTATTTATTTTTATCCTCACCTGAGGACATTTTTCCATGTTTTGTTCAGATAGAGTGGGAGGGAGAGCGAGAAAGAAAGAAAGAGAAACATCGACATGAAAGGGACACATCGAGTGGCTGCCACCCGCACAACCCAACCAGGGCCAGGGACAAACTGCAACCGAGCTACGCACCCCCAGTGGGAACCAAACCCGGGTCTCTCTGGACCACAGGCCGATGCTCCAACCGCTGAGCAAAACCGGCCAGGGATGCATTTTTTTTATTGAAGAAAATTTTGTTTTTTTTTTTTTTTTATCCTCACCCGAGGACATTTTTCCATTTTTTGTTCAGGTACAGTGGGAGGGAGAGAGAGGAACAGAGAGAGAGAGAGAAACATCGATGCGAAAGGAACACATCGAGTGGCTGCCACCCGCACGACCGACCAGGGCCGGGGACAAACTGCAACCGAGGTACACGCCCTTAGCGGGAACCGAACCCGGGTCTCTCAGGACCGCAGGCCGACGCTTTAACCGCTGAGCCAAACCGGCCAGGGCTATTGAAGAAAATTTTAAATAATGATTCTCAATCCTGGAATCAGCTGTGAGCTTTATTATTTATTTATTTATTTATTATTTTTAAAGTTACGTTTATTTGAGCCCAACTGATCAGCTGTGAGATTTTTTAAATACCAGTACTGGGGTCCACTCTCAAAAATTCTGATGGCTTTAGTTGGGATTGAGAACCACTATCTAGAAATAGTTGTCCTAACCAGCAAGAGAATTTACACAGTTCAGCCCAGCTGACAGGGTTAATTATAACAATATTGTGAAGTCCTTGCTAGAGTGAGCTACCATGAGGTTAGGAAGCTGATTTCCCAGAACAAGGGTAATTCATACCTTTACGTGAACAAACTCGATTCTCTGTAACAGACATATTGACAAGGAATTTTCATACAACAAGCATAGATAATCTTGAGGTCACAGGTCACAGTCCACGAGGTAAAACTACAAAGACTTGACGACTCTTGTCTTCAGCAAAAACACTGGCAGAAGCTGTTACGTGAAGACAAGTTCCCAAAGATGATGCATAGACAGCACTGTCTAAACACAATTCCACTTGGCTGGTGCTCCTTTATTTTTATTTATTTTTTAATCCTCGCCTGAGGATATTTTTCCATTGAGTTTTACAGATGGAATAGGAGGGCGGGAGAGACAGAGAGAGAAACATCGCTGTGACCCACATGGCTGGACCGGGACCAGGGATCAAACCGCAACTGAGGTACGCGCCCTTGACCAGGAATTGAACCTAAGACCCTCTGGTCAGAGGGCTGATGCTCTAACCGCGGAGCTGCACCAGCCAGGGCTGGCTTGTGCTTTTTTACAATAATCTTTCCGGTAACTGGCAAATGGCCTCCAGACTTCTTTACCTTTACATCCTAAGGCACTGAGCAGCTGGTGTATTCCTTTTCAAGAGCCCTTGACAATCTTCCAGGCATCTCTTAAGTTTCTCATTAAGTGTCACTGGGCCGTGTAGCTTCAGAGAGATGGCTGCCAAGGGGCCCGGGGGCTTTCGTATTTCAAAGGTTGCCTGGGCCAGGTAAGATCAGCTAAGGTGACTGGAAGGCTGATGGTGTCCTGGGCCTCTGCTACCAACTGTGCACGGAACAGAGAACTCAGCGTAATGCGCAGAGCTGCGGGCTGTGGGGCTTGCCCTGGACAACAGCCCCCAGAAGCACCTGGCTACATTTTCGCTGGCTCATGGACAGTGTGGCCCAGTGCCTGGCAGGGGGGGGGGGACTGGAAGATTGCACGAGGCCCACAAACCCCCATTCGTGACCCACGTGCAACATCAGTGGAATCAACACGCTGACCAGACCTGTGCGGCCAGGCGGCAGGTGCCACCAAAAGATGGACTTTAAAGGAGAAACTGAGACGACAACAGGACGGCCGGAGCTCAGTGCCCAGTGCAGCACACACTGGCAGTCTGGGGTCTCAGTTCAGCAGTTTCCCCAAAAGGGTAACCCCACTTAAACAGAATGTTTAGGTATGAGGCTGGGGCAGGAGGAGGTGAGGAGCCCCATTCTGGCTGTAAGAGACAAAACCACATAATTAACCCATCCCACTCTACCCTTTCCCTCCGGGCCTACCCATGGGCAACCAGGCTACCGGAATTTGGAAGTAGCAAAAAAGAGGGTGGGGGTGGGGAACTCTAACTTGGTGCTTCTTTTGCAGCCACTACGCTCTCTGGATTTGGGTAATTATGGATATTGATGATAGTGATCATGAACAAGGGGTGACAACCCCTGAGATGGACCTGGCATGGCCCATGAAGCAGGCAGTGGGAGGCGTTTTAGGAAGGAGCAAGGTGTATATGGAAGAAACTGCTGAGTCCCCAGGGACAAGTCTGGGCAAATGGTGTGGGTGAGACGTGGGGAAGACTGGAAAAGGGAGAGTGGTTTCTGCAGGGACTGGTCATGGGGATCCAGGCTCAAAGGGAGGTGGGGGAGCCCTGGCTGGCTTGGTTCAGCAGTTAGAGCGTCGGCATGCGGACTGGGGAGTCCCGGGTTCAATTCTCGCTAAGGGCACATACCTCGGTTGCAGTTTGTCCCCGGTCCTGGTTGGGGTCCTGTGGGTGGCAACCAATTGATGTCTCTCTCTCACGTCAATGTTTCTCTCTCTCTCTTCTTCCCTCTCTCCCTCCTGCTCTTTCTGAAGATAAATGCAAAAATATCCTCAGGTGAGGATTAAAAAAAAAAAAAAAAGGGGGACACCTCAGACCCGGGAGGTCAGGGTGGAGACAGGGACCACTCATCTCTTTCTCTCACCTCTTTTCACAGGCCATCTGGCCCATTTAACCCAGACACACACTGCCACCCTCAACTTGACCACTGACCAATGAAGAATCTTAATCCGACACCTGCCAACAACTACTCACTTTTGACACTATTTGGGTTCTGACAAATATTTAAAGTTGTTACAGTGTTCTGAATCTGGAATCTAGATTTAGTCTGTACCCTTCAGTGCGGTTGCTATTGACCATCTGTGGCTACTGAGACTGAAATAGAAATTAATTACAACTAA